GGGGAGCCGGGGTGCAGGCTGCTGCCTGCTTGTAGAGCAGGGGCTCCCAAACCCCCGTGCAGGTAGAAAGACATCAGGGACGACGACGACGACGACACAGGGGACGTTGTGCAACGGCAGATCGGGACCCGTGTCGCGGCACTGAAATCCCGTGTTGGACCGTGGGAGCCTCCGATTGTGCCGCGCGGCACGAGACGGTGGAAGCGATGCCGTAACGTCGGGCGTTCGGATCGCTTTGCCGCGGCGGCGTTTGTGCGCCCGGGGGAGCGTCGGTGGCCGGGACTGCCCGAGAGCGGTTGGTGATCCTGACACACGAGGTCCCAAATGCAGTTGGAAATCAGGGGGGGGTTTCCAAGCTGCGAGGACGCTGCCTTGTTTGTGCTGACACCGCAGGAAAATAACTTCTTGGGGGGGGTGAATAATGAGTGTGGGTGACGCAAGCCTCAGTCCTAAAAACTCTTCTGCGTGTAATCGAACTTCTCGGGTAGCTAATTGCCGGTAGAGCAGAGCTATAAAGTTTGGGGATGTGTGGGGATGCTTCTCTCTCCAACCGATGCATTTTAACGGCGTAACTTCTTTCCCCGCCTGCAAATGACAGCTTGTTTTGTTCTTTTTTTGTTTGTGTGTTTTCAAAGCAGGATTCCCCTGCTCCAAAGGACCGGTCGGCAGGTAGGGCCGCGTTCTTCATCTGATGCTGAGTGTCGTCTTTGTGGCATGTATACTCCTGGGCTTTCTTTGCGGTCGTGCAAGCCAGCGCGTCCTCTTTTCTTCTGCTCATCTTAATCTCCCGCGTATCGTGTTGGAAAGTGGGCAGAGGCGCAGGGGAAAGCGAAAGGCTTTGTGCAAACTGGAACAAGAAGGGAGCTACACCTAACGCTCCAGCTTCTTTTTACATTTTGCTGCTACTTATTACCCGTCTCCTTCTCTTCTCCGATGGAGAGGTCTCCAAACTGCCCGAGCAGCACGCTCATAGACTCTGCTTGTAAAGCGTCCTTCCCGCCTGGGACACGACGGGGATATCCCGACAGTAGGAGCTTTAGGGCTGGGGTTGTTGCTGGCGGATGAAAACCAGCTGCTTGATCCAACACAGCATAGCAGCACCGCTGTCTCCTTTGCTGGGCAGTGCTGCTTTCGCGGCCCCCAATATGAAGACGATATGTTTGTCTTCCATGGTGACGCGTGACCGGAGCTTTCCCTCGGGAGGGTATACGATGCCAACGTCCCTCGGAGTTGTAACCGTTGGCTTTTTTGGGATCAGATCAGACCCAAAGCACAGGGGGAACTTGGTACCACAGCTTCACTGCAGGGAGCTGTAGGTTGGGACCTGGAGACGTTTCATCTGGGTGGATGCAACGGTGCCAACTTCAGATGTTCAACTGTTAAGCCTCCAACACAATGTGAGAAAAGCTTTAAAAATCCTCAGGGCTTTTGTTTTTTTGTGGTTTTTTTGGCAGGGGCTCTTTGGCATCTGTTTTTTCATCTCTTGGGATCTGTTTGCAGGCATTTCTCTGCCTCCTGGGAGCTGGTGCCAGGCAAAACTCTTGGCTTTTTATTTTCCGATCCCCTGACTATAGGCGCTGGGGCTGTACAAAACATATCCCGTGTTGTGCGGCTTGCAAGTGCTGGCGGTGATGGGAGGAGAAGTCGGGCAGGGCTGGGACAGAGTTGCTTCCACCGCTTCGCAAAGACTGCTCGGGGCACGCGTGGCTTCAGACTAAGTGGGTCAGCGGATCAGGGCAAGGTGGCTCGGTTTGGCTCCGGTGTTTTGTCAGGGTAACAATAGCGTTGGGAACGTGCTGTATCAGCGTAACGAGGGCAGCGTGCAAACACAACGGGAAGTGCCCGCTCCATCGGCGAACGGGGCTGCCCCAGCTCAGGGTCCCTGGCTGCTTAGCACTATATTTCCCCTTGTCGCTGCAGGGGCACTGGGTGGCAGGACAGCTGTCCTTGAGGGGCACGAGTCCCCAGGCAGGGGAGGAGAGAGGGTGAGAGCAGACGCTTCAGGGGAGGAGATGTGATAAAAGCCTGTGCCCGCTGTTCTTCCTCCTGGCACTTCATTTTACGAAGTCCGGTGTGGCTTGTACTCAAAGCACTGCGTGCTAAATATGCCTTGGGGTTTGTTTGAAATACCCCCCGGTTTTAAAAAAGAAAGCCCAGCTGCTTGCCTATTTTTAAAAGTGCGTTTGTGTGTGTGGGATGCTCTGGCGCCGAGCTAGCGGCGCCGGGACTCTGCTCTCGCTGTGTGCGCATGCTTGAAGCCTCTTCCAGAAGCTGGGCACCTCTGCTCGCCCCTGGGCACAGGGCTTGTCTTGAAGGAAGCATCCAGGGCTGGGGAGCAGGCTGGGAAGTAGGACTCCTGGGACTCTGCCACTGGCCTGGTGTGTGCATTTGGGCATGTCTCCTCACCTCTGCGCAGCATCTCTCCCCTGTTAATTGAGACTGTCTTATCACGTGGGTTCAGAGTAGAGCACTGGGGCCTGGTCTCGGCTGGTGCTTCTGTGTTGTGCTGGTCCTCAACAGAGGGGAGGGAGGATCTCAGCTCCTGCTGCAATTCATAAATTGAGTAAGACTCTGTGTATCCTCTTCACTGGAATTTATTGTCGTTTCCCTTTTCCAACGTCCCCGTAGAAGGCCTGAAACACGTAAGGAGGCCAGTACATAAGAGGAGCCTCAAAACGGGGAGGACGCGTTGGGTATCATCTCCGCTCCACCATTGAAACAGCTGCTCCTTTGCAGCTTGCCTGGTTGTTTTTTTCCAGGGATCGAGGCCCTGGGGCTGGACAAGACCCCAGTGTTGTTTCCATGTGAAATCTGCTCCCTGGCTTGGATCTGATTAAACATTTACCCCAAAGCAAATAGCAGAATGCCAGTGCCAGGTGACTGCAGCCAGCGAATGTGAGATCTCCCCCTCCGTGGCAGCCTGCTCTGTGCGTGGCACTGGCCATCCTCTGCACGGGACGCTGGTCTCTCCCCCAGCCTGTCCTGTCGTGCAGCGGCTCCAGCATTGTCACCGCAAGGCCTCCAGGAAAGGCACCGGCCCCGTGGTTCTGCTCTGACACAGCTGCGCGCCTGCTCCCTTCCTATCGTGGCTTGAGCGTGCAGGGACCTGGCTTGTGCTGGCTCGTGAGCTCTGTCTGCCCTTCTCACCCCTCCACGCTGCATTAATAGGATCAAGCTCCAACTGGGGACGTGGGCACAGGCCAAGTCTCTGTATCATGTGAGCAGGCTAACTATCGAGTCTCGGGCAGGTGGCAGGTCTCGGACACTGTTGTGGAGATAGGGACCACGCTCTCGCTGGTCACTCTGGGCTTCCTCCTGCTTGCTTGGTGCTGTTTTGGGGGTCCCCCCTGGTCCCCACAAGTTCCCAGAGCTGCGGGATCCCCCTCTTTCCTTCCCCCCGGCTGCGCTGACCTGGTTCGCTCGTGCCTTTTTGTCCCCAGGCTCAGCACCGCTGTGGGCCTGCTTCTTCCACACCGAATTTGAGCTGAGGAAGCCCAAGACGGTCACGCAGGCCGACATGAAGGTGGAGCTGCTTCCCGCCCTCACGGACAACTACATGTACCTCCTCATCGACGAGGAGACCAAGGAGGCTGCCATTGTTGACCCCGTGCAGCCCCAGAAGGTAAT